AATCCTTCCCCAGCTTTGTTTATTTTTAAAGTTACAAAGGCTTTCCAGCCTTCAGAAGAGACTATGAACTCTGCTCAGGTAAAAATCCTCATTTAGGTGGATGATATCTCCCCCTTAACTTGAAAATACAGCTATAAATTCTAAACCTCAGAGTATTTTCAAAGACACTCCAAGTTCCCTCATTATCATTAACATTCAACAGAGGAGGTCAGTATAAATCTTCATATTTTACGAAGAGGGAAACAATTAAGAAACTTAAGAACTTTTTTCCTAACTTGTGCTGTTTGCGTTTTTAAGGAATAACTTACTTATTCTTTTGCCATTTACCGTTTTTTTAAATGCTCTGAAAGTTCCATGGCACACTACCAACGCTAGCTCCTGAAATCCTGGAATAATGTAATAGCCTTGCCTTTTAATAAAAACTAGGCATTTTAGCGCTTAATATTTAGCATGCTCGTGGCATTTCTTACACATTTTAGCTTGTGCTGCCTTTGATGTTACAATCTCTTCAGTGAGAATAATACTTTTTGTTATTGTTCCTGGTAGGAAAAAAAAGTAGAGCTGGAGGAAGTAAAACCATCCCGTTGTCGTCTGAGCGACTCAATTCCTGATCAATAGCGCGATAAAGGCTTCGGTAGGGAGATAAAATGCGGTTCCTAGGAAAGCTGTTCCCCCTGCCATATTTAGCAGAAAAAAAAGCATTTTGACAGTGCTCATTTATCAAGAGTGGTCAAGATACAGAAACTCGGCGGGGTCTTGTGTCTGAGGCGTTAGGGATACCAGCCCTAGAAGGGCTGAGGCTTTGTGTGTTAGTATGTATTGAGCCTCCTTCCAGGTGGCAAACAGCTGCACCTTTTTATAAAACTTCGAAAATAAATCTGAAGTGCTTGCTTTCAGCCGATAAGTGTTATATTTAATTGAAGCGTTCTGCGAGTGTTATAGCGCCGGCACCCAGAAAGATGGTGAATATTTAATATATTTGTTTTGTCTTTTCGGCCGGTCAACGGAATAATGAAATTCCTTAACTACTTCTCTTTAACTTGCCCGAAGAAAGCACGGTATGTTGCTAAATCGCTTTTCTCCGGCCCTGCCGAGAAACAACTTTAATCCTTGTTAGAAAATTGCCGAGTCTGGGCCTGACAAAGAGCTCATGCCTGGAGCATTGTGAGCGCTGGGAGCGGGGCGAGGGGAGCCCTTTACAGCTGCGTGCCTCCAGCCCGCCTCAGCTGGACTATTTAGGCCAGGAGGTTTGTCAATTCCTCCCGACAATGGAGCCAGTTTTTCAGTGCCTGTAGCCGCGCCGAGCCCCATTGGGGATCAATGCTGGCCATTCAAGCTGCACCCTCTTTCATTGCTTTGGTTTGTTAATTTAAGACTAAAGGTCCGCTGAGGGGGTTTAGGGTGTTTAAGAAAGCTGATGAACTGTTTAAGAAATCTGATGAACTGAGAGCGTTTATAGCCCTGGTGTGGCAACTATTGGCACTGAGGGAGCTGTGTCCTTGTTGACCCTCTTGTTATTAAAAATGCACAAGTGCTGCGCTTCTCAATATTTCAACACTCTTTCATTGTCAATACCACCTTCTGAGCCCTTCAGCTTGTTGCTTGCTCTAAAGATCTTCTTAGATTGGGTTTGAAAACTTCACCTTAAACACTAGATTAGACTGATGTTCTGTTTTCCGTGCTCCTGTTGATTTGTTGAACCTTCCCAGGGCTGGAAAGCAAGTAGCAGCTTGATGGGGAGACGGGCTGCTAATATGATTTACCAGTCTACAGTCATGCACAATAAGTGTGAATAAATACAGGGGTCTCACAGAGTCAACCCTAGCCTTTCCTTTTCTCTTATTTTTTACTTTAAAAGAGGTATCTCAGGAAAATGAAGTGAGTAATGCATGCCCTTACAGGAGCTGGATGAGCTATGAATAAGAGGGGGGGAGACAGGGAGGCAAACATATTTTTGTTAAAGTGGTTGGCTGCTGTTATGTGCTGATGTGAAAAAAAAATACATATAACAAACACTTACTGCTGTGTTCTTGCACAGACGACAGCAAAGAATATGGCACTAATACCATATCTTTGACATCTGCAAGAGTCACATTGTCCTTTCGGTGCTATTGTTACAAGTGGGAAAGAGACTTCGTCTTAAAAACAGAAGGATTTTTTTTTCAATTATTATTACTTAAAAACAGTGCAATCTTGGGACCGTCATCTAATCGCTGAAGCTTTTGAGTTTGCAATACATTCCCATAAGTCACAGTAGATGCACCCCTGTCTCTATAACGTGCTTGTGGTTGTCAAAACGTGTGGCCTTGGATTGCAGCTCCGAGAGGCATTTGCAGCACTGTGCATTTCAACAGGCTCCAAAAGAAGCGATAGGGAAATATTTGCTTTTCTTATGAAATCCAGCAATTTTATGTTTATGCAGCTTCAGCCTATACTAAGTGGTCAGAACTAGTGGGTATAAGGCCAATAGAGAACAGGGATACGGTCCACAGGTACCTGTAGGAGGACTCTAAAATGTGCTGGATGGGATTTTTATTAAAGGTACTGTGACAATTCAAAAGAAGAATGCATCTTTTTCTAAATATTTTTTTCTGAACAGGGTATGCTGACAGAGGAGCAAGTACCGTAGTATCATTTCACAATCACCAAATGAAAAATTTCTACTTAAAGCTTAAGGTATTAAAACGTGTCAGGAAAATATATTATATTGTTTTCATTCACGAATTTGAGTAGCAAAATTGATTCCCTCCAGTTTCGTAGCTTTGTTTTCAGTGCCTGTAAGCATATCACAGGTATATCCATGGAGAGTCTAATTTTTGCTGCCCCCATCTCAATGAAGTTATCTGGCTGGGCTTTAAAACTCGTGTTTTGCCAGAAAACTGGGACTGGGTCTGATACCAGTGATCTGGCACCACTCGGTGCTGTCGCGTGGGGAAACCGATCACAGAATTTTCCATCCTGTCTATAGTTCGTTCATGGGAGCAAGTTTGAGCCCCTTCTGCTTTCTACTTGATACAAACCAAATACATCGTGGATGTGTTATTGGATTTATTTTTTTTTAATTGAAGAATATCAGTTTTGAGAAAACTCTGTTACGAAAATCTTTCTCTCTCCCATGATTACATTAAAGATTAACAGCTGCAGAGTCTGAGTGATAATACCATAATTTGCCTCATCTTATTGCAAATAACAACAGATATTCTGGGTAGAATGCTTGGCATGTGATTTTTTTATGTATATTAGATTGATAGAGTTCCCCAAGTGAATAAGCTCAACTGTATTTTATTTTCTAGACATCTGTATCCATACAACACCTGTCATATAGTTTACAGCTGCTACTTAGTAACAACTCTGTCACATTAAAAATATTTTACAGGTACTTACAAAGGAAATCAAAACCCACGTGCATGTTTGGGGTGAAATAATGTAAATAGTATAAGAGTGTCATTCAGTGATAAAAAACAGTATTTTATGGATACCAAGCCGATCCCACATTTTAGTGAATAAATCAAACGGCTTTTATGAAACATGCAGCTATCTGCATTTGTGTGGTCTGTTGGTTCACTTCTGTAAAATAGTAAATTAATAGGAGAAACTCTAAAAAATGTAACATTAATTCATTTCCAATAATTTATAATTAAAATACATTTTAGCACATTAAACAAAATAAATGGAAGCCATTATTATGTGAAAACCGTATTTTAAACTTATCTTAAACTGATAGTTACCATGAGATGAGACTGTTTCCTGTAAGGAAAAAGTATTTGCATATATTTACTGTATGTCTTCAAAGCTTTTTCCAGGGAGCTTACATTTTGATGAAAGAATTCTGTCTTCTGTTATGTCCAGTAGGCAGTAATTTGTCTTCATTTTTTTCAAGATATATTTTATTTTATTTGTTAATGTAGAGCTGCCCAATGAGACAAGTTAGATCCTTCCTTTGAATTACTTCAGGATGTATACCTTGCCTAACACACTGCATTTTCAAATATGCACAATATTTCCTCTCTTTGCATATCTGTGTATTTTGTAAAGACACAGGAAATTACATTAGAAAAGAATTTAAGCCTCTTCCCTGTGGGGAAAGAGACAAGAAACAGCTATGACACAAACTCTTTTAATCTCTCCCTGCTAAAATGAGAAAAAAAAATCCCTTCCTTTTTACAGTTTGACTAAATGACATCTGGTTGGTATTTTACAGGAGGGGGAGTAAAACTGCTACAACTATGTTTAGTAAAATCTCTTTTAATCCAGTTAATGTGAAAGAACTATTATAGTAGCTATTTGGATCTGAGCATTTTTTTACGGTAACATAGACACCAACAGCAGAGAACTTATTCTTACCCCATCCATTTGTGAAGCTTTGAGTGAAAACATGCCCATGCCTAAGACACAAAAAGGAAATAAGGTAGGCTGTAATTATAATTAGTAATTAACATAAAACAAAACCTTAACATGTTTCTTCTGGGAGGGGTGGAGCGGTGTTTTGATCATGCTTAAATACAGTTTCCATGGATTTCTGAATTTTTTTACTCAATAAAGAAGTGATTTAAAAGGAGAAAAAAAAAAAAGGCAAGACATTTGTTATTTAATGCTGTTTTCCTGTTTGAACTGGAAAACGTAGGCATTGCAAAATCTCTCTCAAGATACCCTACCTGCATTTTTTCCCTTGCTGTTTTAGCTGTCAATTCTCTCATGTAATTGTGTATTTAATATCCATTCTTACTGACAGATAGCAGAGTGCGTGACGCTGTTTTGCTTGAAAATGTTGTAACTGAAAGATAAAATGGCAGTTGCTAATTCATGTAAAGAACAGTCTGGGTCAAGTTATTTGATTTCCTACTGACCCGTGCAATTCTCTTAACAGGAAATTATATCATTGTTGACTTCAAGTGCTGATCTGTGATTATTTCAAAGTGTTTCATTACCTCTCATTACCAAATCTGTTAAATGAATACTGCAGGGTTGTTTGGTGGGGTTTTTTTTATGCTTCTTTTCAGCAATGGTATAGCAGCTCCATGAAAGTCATATGCATGTGGTTGGCTGATAGATTAGACCTTCAGCTTCACATCTACCAGCTGAAGACTCTCATCAAGATAGTAAAGGTAAATAAAACATGTTTGAGTTAGACTGCATAATAAAGAGAGAAAAGTTATGAAGTGTTAACATTGATAAATCCCTAAAAGTTAAAAAAATGTTGAAGAAAGTTGAGAACTGATGTAGATTTGGGTGGGGGGGTTCTTTTTTCCACAGTAGTTGCAAATCTGGGAAGAAAACAATTTATTAAAACCTTTAATGTTAATTTTGTGTGCACTAATAATTGTTGATTCTGAACTCAGTGACAATTACAGCTGTTCCAAGGAATTTTAACAGATTACTGCTATCCGTACAACAATGTTGTATGATATTCCTCATAAATTATTGTTTGTCATATTACTGATTTTTTTTTGCTTTACCTTTAGCATTCTTTCTCAATTTTTCCACACTCTCCTAAAAAGTAACTATTTTCTCTTTCTTATGCACATCCGATTACTAGATTTGATTCGAAAACAATATTCCATATATTAGATAACATTTTCTAATCTTTCATACTCTGGGATAAGTGTCATAGAAAACCAGTCCCTCCAGTCCAGTCCTCAGTCATTTACACTGGCCAATGTCAAAGGCTTCCGAGCAAAGTGTAAAATACCTTGCAATAGGCAATTATGGGTTAACCTACCGTAAAAGAAAATTTCCTCCTAGCTCCCTTTCAGGTCTCCGTTAATACCCTTAGGCAAGAGACAGAAAGACAGTTCAGGTTTTATTGCTTTTAATTCTGTTTTGTTTAACTCTGAACATTCTTGTTATCTGTATAAATGTGGAATAAGAGGCACCTGTTGCCAGTGGTGACTTGGATTTCTTCAAAATATTTTCTTATGAAGTTCATGCAAGACTGTAAAGTCGGAAGCATTTTAACTCGTGGACACTAGAATTGCAACTGCAACTTCCAGGATTCAGTAGTTTTAAAAAAAAAAAAAGAAAATGAAGAGCGAGAGATCCTATCAGTGATGGCATTATGGATCCCTGAACCACCCAAGCTTAGCTTTGCTATATTTTACTTTAATTTATTTCTGTCAGAACAGAATTTGGCTCTTCATTACACTATGTGCCAAAACAGTAGAAGCAGTTTTCTATTTGTGGTTGAAATGAATGGCTCTTGCAAAAAGTTTTAAGCTGTTCTCAAGTGAAGGTAATCATCCTCTGGGAAAAAAAAAAAAAAAAAAAAAGTGTTACAGGATCTAAGAACTGTGCCGGTGAGATCTAAGAGTGGGCAGACTAAATTATACCAGTTAAATATCACCCGGGAGATTAAAGGAAGAGGCTTGTATGAAATTGAAGTCGGGGTGAATGAGCAGCACTGTCAGCCAGCCCTCCTCCTGCAGCCTGGCGCACAGGTTGGCCTGGTTCAAAAGAAGTTGTCTCCTGGTGGTGATGGGAACACGCTAGTGATGGTGGTAGCCCTTCTGTGCCCATACACCCGGTTTGCTGTGCACATAAATCCCAAGTGTGTTATTCCGTGGCACCTTCTGTGGGTACAGAAGATTGAAGAAGATGATGTCAATCATAGAGGTACCGGTCAATGTACTAGAAGACAGAAAATCTTGTCCACCTATCTTTTGGTGGGTGAAGATGGCAGAACTGGAAAAACAGGAACTCGTCCAATGGCAGGCTGCTGGGAAATAAGAAACAATGGTTCAAGTGAAGTATCATAAGAAGCTTTTGCTGCCGCAGCCCTGCTGGGAAAAGGCACACGGGGAGGCACAGTTCCTCCAAACTCTAGAGTGAATGGAGGGACTTCCCTGTTTGCTTTTGGAAAAACTGGGAGGCTGTATTGCCCCTGTCATCTCTTGGAAATATTCCAAAAAGAGTAGTAGGAGGTCATTTTTAAGGGACATGGGATGAGAAAGAAATAGATTATTCTTTCAAGTTTGGATGCAGCAAAGATAGTGGCATTATTAAGAATGACCAGAAGAAGAACACATTGTTTGTTGCCATTAAAGCCAAGACTGAGGGATGATGGCGTAAAGATATTGGTGGATGTGTGACACGTGCAGAAGGACGTGACTAAAGAATGGTCAAGGACCAAGAGAAAAGTTAGAGATAAATGAAAAATTAAGCTTGGAAGTGAACATTATTATCCTGCAAAAGTATGTCAAGAGAAGAGCAACGACTGAAACCCCGAGAGCCGGTGTGAGAATGGGAGGAATACAATGTAAGACTGAACAAAATTGCTGTAGGACCTGTTAACAGCATAAAAGGAAATTGAATGCACAGTGTTATAAAAAGGGAATGCAATGGTGACACTTGAAAAAAGACCAGGCAGGGTACTCACAGGAGTGTGTGAGCAAAACACAGGCTGCATCCATTGACTCTGAAGCTGACCTATGAAAGTCAAATAAATCTCAGTTGCAGTGATTCAGACAAGGTTTAAATAATCTTCATAGATAGTGGCAGAAAAAATTCTCCCAGCTGAATGTTACCCATTTTGAGAGGTGTCTTTTCCAGTTCTCTGATGTGTTGCGTGAAACAAAATCAGCTCTTTTCTCTTTTCTTTTTCTGAGAGTTGTGCACGGTCTCTTCTGGCAGAAGAATGGGCCTGGTGGCCCTTAATTATTTTCCATTTTCTTTTTCCTGTAGTCTCTTCCATAAACTTTGGGAATGGTGTGCACAAAATAAGGAAGTGGCTAGATCAACTTGTCTTTCTTAAACTTTTTAGGCTAGCTTCAGGAAAGATTATTTCAAATGTGTTACAATTTACAAGTAAATAAGGTAGAGTAGATGATTTTCCATATGCTCACTTGAACATAGCATCAATGAATAGAACAATTCTACTCAGAATTCTTATTTAATAGATAAGTCAAACAAGAAAGTCACACCTGCTAGTTCATAGGAAGTCTGGATACCAGGGAAAGAAAACTTTCTCAAGTGGAAAAAAAAAAAAAAAAAGAAAGATGCAGATGTGAGTCTAAATGTAGATGACTTAGAATGTAAATTAACTGAGTGAAGCAGTCACCTAAGAAATGTTTACATTATAGAATATAGATCATAATCTAAATTTTATTTTATTTTTCCACATTTAGCATATAAATGTAAAGCTAAATACAAGTAAAATCATATTATGGGGAAAGAGCCAGACATTTACGTTATCTGTGAAGTGGCAGAACTACTGTAGCCAAATTCACATTTCAGTGTGCAGTTAGAAAAATTCGCTGTTGGTTTCTTATTGAACAAATGAGACAAATGGGAGTTACTTACTGAGAAATCAGTCTACAGTTACAGAAATGTAGTACAAAATCTCTTAAAGGAATGACCATTGAAACATGGCTTGTAGACTCTCTGGAGTTTATAGAAACCTCATGCAGCCCAGAAGCTGAGACCACAAAATCTTTAGCAGACTCTAGATGGCAGTTCCCTAAACACAGGAGGAACGAAGCTGTTCTGCTGCCGTGCTAGAGGTGGCCCGTGCAGGGTGGAAGACCGTTCGGACTTTCTCGGGTCCAACTGGTGGATGTTTTGTTTTTGCTGCAGAAAACCTACCGAGACTTCAGGTTGCAAGGCGTGCTGGAGGGAACGCTGAACAGCAAAACCTACGACACCGTGCACAGCCGACTGACCGTAGAGGAGGCCACAGTCTCCGTCACGGATGCGGGAGGACTTCAGGGCATTACTATGAAAGACAGCGACGAGGAGGAAGGATGAGGAGATAACATGGTGTTATCTCACCCAGCATTTGGAGTTGGGGGGTGATGGGCTGAGGGTGGGGGTTATCTTTGGCTTGAGGTTTTTTTGGTAACTTGTCCTTGTAGTTGCATTTATAGTTTTGCCTTATGATATAGGTGCAGAAATGTAATTTGCTCCTTTTTTTTTTTTTTTTTTTTTTTTTTTTTTTTTTTTTTTTTTTTTTTTTTTTTTTTTTTTTTTTTTTTTTTTTTTTTTTTTTTTTTTTTTTTTAAAAAAAAAAAAAAGAAAGTAAGATTATCAGAGGAAAAGTGCCAAGGATTTTTTTGAGAACAATGGTTGTAGCATATTTTAATGTATAGCTTTGCTTAGGGCTGCGAGAACACTGGCATGGAGTTTGAGTTACGTTTCTTTCCCTTTTGTTCGTTACCATTTGTTCTTGTATCTCCATCAGATATTGATGTCCTGTGCAGAAAACAAAATGTGTGCCTCACTTAAAACCCAGCTATACAAGGAACTCATTCTTGGAATAAGTCAGTGCCCTAGGTAAAAAAATAGTGTATTTTCAGGTTTACACCTTGTTTACCTTTTTTGTGCTTAATTTTACATTATTATGTGATGTGCATTGAAAATTTTAACCTTGGTTCTTTGTATTTTGAGGTTGGTATATAAGTAGTAGGACTTCCAGGACAGTCAATCACATACAAACTTCTTAGGAGTGTTGTTGTGTCTATTCATTTTGCAAGTTTAAAGATATCTCATCATGTTGGATGTCAGGAAGCTTGCCGTCAATGTTTCGGTTTCTGTGAAAAATTTCAGGCAATAAGAACCCATTTTGTCGTGACCACTTCTGTATCTACCCAAGTTTGTATAGAATTCTACAATTAAAAGATGTTTTCAATATTTCAAACTGTTTGAACTGTTACACCATTCCTCATGAGAACAAGTTTTTTGAAAGATGGTTGTATTTACTTTATATAGTGATTTATGGTGAATATATTCATTTTATAGAGCAGACCTAATTAGCAAACAAATATCCAAGGACACGATGCCTTGATAAAGAAAAAAAGCAAACCAACAACCCCTCACTGGCAGATGAACAGGCAGTTCTCACTGCCCATTTTCCTATGCCCTCAATATGAGCTAGAAAGAATTCAAATTTTCATCAGTCAAAACTCACACAAGTTATGAAAAATGCAGCTTTTTTCCTGGGTTTTATTTGGTTTTGTTTTGTGAGAACATGACTAATTCCTGGGTTTGTGCAGACAAAACCAGAAAGAACACAGAAGATACTCAAAGAAGGAAGGAAGGTTGCTGAGGTCCTCGCTGAGCCGTGGTGTTACACTGGAGGGGCTTCGCTGAGGGACTGCTGAGGATTTAAGAGGCTGGTGAGGAGTTTCCCTGCAAGACCAGGCCATAGGACATCAGGGATCTGCCTCAAGCACACGGGGCTGCAGGAATTGCAAACGGGAGCCATAAGGAAAGTTCTTTTCAGCACGCTTGGAAGCTCTGCGGAACAGGGATGGGCAGGTTACGCCTCTTCCTGGGGAAAAACCCAAAGTGGCAACTACTTCCTTCCCCTGTTCTGCAGGGGAGCTGAGGTGAACGCGGTGAAATGGGAGAAATGGGAGCTGGTGGGGATGGCTCTTCTCAGCTCCTGGTACTGGGACTGAGTGCTCACCCCGAGGTGCCCGGGGAGGGCTGGGCTGTGGGCACCAAGGATAAGTATCGATAGATAAGTACCAATAGGGCCAGGCTTGGTGAGGAGCACCCTGTCGTGCCAGCATCTGCAGCCTCAGCCCCAGTCTGGCTGTGGCAGGCAGCAGGGTAGAGAAGAAGCCAGGCTGCCCAATGTAACACCCAGCTCCCCCAAAAAATAAGGCAGCGAGACACCAGTGCCGGTCAGACCCAGAGGGAGCTTCTCTCTGCAAAGATCTCCCTGCTTCCCCTCTGCCCCCAACCTTTGCCTCCCGGAGAGAGGGAGATGCCTGTGGAGGGGACAGTTGTAAACAGGTGAAGGCAGGTGTCACCACGGTGGTCCTGCAGTGCCTGATGAGGCTACCTGGTGTAGGGGCATGCCAGCTCCAAGCAGGGCTCTCCTGAGAAGAAGGCATTAGGAAATTTTTAAGGTTCTGAGATAACAGAAGTGCAGGAAGCGTTATTAAAACTGTATGCTGTCCCTAGCAAGTCACTAACTGTGTGGGGGCCTGGAGTGGGGAGTAGGAACACTGTGTCAGAAGTGGCTGTCACCAGCAAAGCCCAGGAGACGATGGATCCAACCCTCCTTCAGCAGAGACCAGCCTGGCAGCCATCCATCTGCCCAGCCCTGGTAGCCAGAAGTCCTGTGGAAAACACACTGTTTTCCCTCATCTTCACCGTGGGCTTGTCTTCTGTCCCAAGTTGTCTCCACACAAAGAAGGGTTTCCTGGTAAGACTAACAACTCTCCCTATTGATTTGGACAGTTACAGAGTAGGTTACAGTAATTTCACCTGCCAGGGCCTCAAGAAGACTCAGGCCATCATGGTCCTGACTGGTCTCACCTGGAATCCCCACCCACAGCCTCTGCCCAGGGACTCCATCTCAGCTCAGCCCAGGGCTGCCAGTCTCTGCCCCTCCCATGGAGCAGGAGTGCTGGTTTCCAGCTCATGGGCCCTGTTGATCCAGACCTTGACCCATGGATTGACTCCAGACCTGCCTGATCATCACAGATACGTTGGTGACATGAACTATGAGTTCCCACCAGCTTTCCCCCTGCTCCAGCCTGCCCTTCTCCCTGGCTGGGGGTGGTGGAGTCAGCCCTGGCTGGTGGTGACCTGCTGTGTTGGCCCTTTGGAGCCCCCCTAGCTCCCTGTCCTTTAGGGACCAGTCAACCCTTTCTGTGCCCTGACATCACCTTTAAAAAAAACAAACAAACACACAAACAAACAAACAAACAAACAAACCAAAACAAAAGCAAAAACCTATGAATTTTTTGACTGGAAGAGGGTCTGAGTTACTCAAATCTCATGAAGGCTGGTACATGCACACCCTGTATGTCGAGCACTTTGCCGTACAATTTCATTCCTTTGCCAGGAAGGGTAATGATAGGACAAGGGGAAACGGTTTTAAATTGGAAGAAAAATGATTCAGATTAGATCTCAGGAAGAAATTCTTTACAGTGAGGGCGGTGAGGCACTGGAACAGGTTGCCCAGAGAAGCTGTGGATGCCCCATCCCTGGAAGTGTTCAAGGCCAGGCTGGATGGGGCTTTGAGCAACCTGGTCTGGTGGGAGGTGTCCCTGCCCATGGCAGGGGGGTTGGAACTAGATGATCTTTGAAGGTCCCTTCCAACCCAAACCATTCTATGGTTCTATGATCTGTGTGCACTACTTGCAAGATGTGTCTGTCAGTAAAATCAAAATGAGTAAGGAAATAGTAAAAAAAACCAAACAAACAGAAAAAAACAAAAACAAAAAACTGCAGATGATGTAACCATGAAGAAGTTACAAGATGTTTATGATTTCAGGGACTCACACAAAGTACCTGACGAGCTGTTATTCTTAGCGAGGCAGCAGAGCAGGCGTCACAGGGAGGCAGGTACAGAAATGACAGCACTCCAAAGGTCATTCCGTTTCTTATTAATTCCCGTATTTTCTTAGGAACCAGATTTGTGAATCCGCGCACCGAGGCCGCGCTTGAGAAGGCCAGTGAGCATCTGTGTGACAGCTCCGGGGCCGGGCACCGCCACCCCCGCGGCAAGACCCCGCTGACAGCCAAGCGAGGTCCGCCTCGAACGGCTTAAGTTACGCGTTTAAAACCTCCCTGCGCTCCCGCAGGTGGGTGCGGGTGGGGCAGAGCCGAGCATCCTCTCCGGCTCTCCCGCCGGGGGGCACGGCCCCACCGCCGCCCCCTGGGGGGGGGGGGGGGGGGGGGGGGGGCGGTGAGAAAGCGCTATAACGAGGGAGCGAACGGCCTCTGAGGGGACCGGCAGCTCAACAAAAGCGCCCGGGAGAGAGGCCTCGCTCCTCGGCCCTGGGGACAAGGCCCCCACTCAACGCTTCCTGAGGTCCTGGGGGGGATCTGGGGTCAGGCCCTGGGTGTTTCCAGGCTTGGAGGGGGGACGGGACGGGGGACACACAGAGCTGCCCCCGCGACGTGGAGAGAGGCCGGGGCACCT